AAAAGTGAAGTTTTGTTGAAATCGGTTGAAAAATGTAGGAAATCCGATCCCATATATAAACGAACACACACACAAACAACCTGGGTTTTGTAATAAGCATAACTCGATATGAGTTGTCCCCCTTTCATTCACGTGAAGCCTCGTAATCGTGTTTTCAAATTGATTTCGTGCAAAAATAATTGTGTTTTTTCCAATTTTTGGCGCTGTCAGAACCACCACAAGGTAATTTTATGTAATCCTGTGAAGTTTTGTTGAAATCGGTTGAAAAATGTAGGAAATCCGATCCAATATATAAACACACACACACACACACACACACACACACACAATCTGCGTTTTATAATAAGTAATATATATATATATATATATTATGCACTGTTACATTAGAACATGTACATATCCACTACAACACTGTGCATCTTGTTTCAACGTTTAAAAATAAACGTTTCTTCAGGTGGAAAATCACGATTCTACTAAAATATTTTATTCCAAAATACAGTTAACAAAGCATATCTTTCACTTTCGTCTTTGGAAAATTTCCCATAAAAGTTAAAAAGGATTTACATATGGAGAGAGAGAAAGAAATCTAAGTAATTAATAACAGCGAGAGAGAGAAGAGGAAAAAGGCCAAGAAAAGAAAATAAAGGTTGAAAAAAAGTGGGAGGAGGTGAGATAAACAAAAGAAACAACAAATTCAACCACCCTCATTCTTTTATATATATATATATATATATATATATATATATATATATATATATATATATTATTATTATTATTATTATTATAAATAAATTGATTTAAAATATGGTTTTCCTTTACACAGTTCTAACCATGTTTCAAAAATGGAAGGTCCGAATTTAATTTTGTAATTAAATTAAAGACATAAGATAAGTTACTCCAAAATTCGCTTGAGGATGAAATGGAACTAATGTCTTTAATTTAATTACAAAATTAAATTCAGACCTTTCCATTTTGAAACATGATTAGAAACATAGCGGAAAAAATCATATTTTAAATGAATTATTATAATAATAATGCTCTGTAAATTTACATTTTGTAAAAATAAAAATTTCCATAAGAACACCGGATTATATATCTTACTGTTCTTTCTTTATATATATATATATATATATATATATATATATATATATGCATTTTCTCTAAGAGATGATTATTTATTTTTACCTTTCCCATTTATAAAAGTATTATTCATTTATCGTAATAGGTTTGACTCTAATTTCGATTTGATGTATTTTTAATTAATAGATAGATTAATTTATTAAGGCGAAATACATTGAAAGTGTACTAATTTAAGAGTTTTCCATGGTAAATTCCAGTAGTATTCAGGATATCTTCCCTTCGACTAATAGTATTACTATGACGATAAGGGATATTAAAAAAAAAACACCAATAAAATTAAAAACAAAATGTAGAAAGCTTAATGATCTCGTTTAGGTTATGCATCTAGACACATCGGATGCTAAAAATTTATAATTTAAATCATTCGTGTATCTTCAGCGTTTTCTTAATATAGAACTAAATCCGTCGTTTGTAGTATGTCTTTCCCATCCACTAAACATATATGATTCCGTCGATAAAATCATTGGTCTGAAGAAGTCATCTCGAATGTCGAAATGCATAACAGAATATTTTTCCATTTTTTTTTTTTTATTCAATTGCCCACTTTTAGTCTGATATATATAGAGAGTTTATATATCATATTTCCCATAATTGGTAGATGGGATATATAAAATCAGTGGAATTTAACAATTCTCGGCTATAATTCATATATTCTTTTAACCCGTGACCCGTAAGGTTGTAGGGGCACCATGTGTATTGCAGCCGCAGTAGAATTGGTGTTTCTTGGTCATGATAGCCTGACGGAGCCCAACCCTCTGTAGGGTTTTGAATTCAGAGTTGTTCCTAGACCGGTTGCCATTCAAGGCTATAGAACGGAGTCTGTCCTGCTATTTACCCAGTAAATTTAATGGATTCGACTGGTATTCGAACTCGGCTCTCCGATTCCTCAATCTGAGCCGCTATCCACTGTGCCTCCTATTCATATTAGATCCCAGAAATAAGTAATTCACCAGTATTTCTTAATATAGATTGCAAAGTACAAGAGTCGTGATGCTGGCTATTCGTATACACCACCGGTGGGCGATTTTGAATGTTGAGTGGACGATGAGTATCTGAACAGAAAATGGTGGGCAATATAAAATGTTGAGTATTAAAAATGTATTTTCAACATTACTCCCAGAGAAAATATTCAAAGGAAATATTCTAAGAAACTGTATAAAAACGAAAAACAGAATCAACAATAACCGGAAGCCTAATTGGGAATAACTGGATCATATTCCTAGACAAGATTTATCCCCACAAAGGACGAATATTTTGGTATTTGAGGGGCCATTAGCATTCATATAAAGTAGCCTAAGAACAGATTTTAGCCAGGAGAAATAAACTACATCCAATTTCAAAATTTAATTACGTAATCCCTACTCAACATAAATAAACAGTATTTGGAACTAATATAGAGTAGGTCCTCCATTTGCTAGTTTCAGTGTTTGTATTCGATTTTTCATGGATTTGATCAAGTTATCAACAATCGACTGAGCCATATTTTGCCACTCCTTTAGCAGTGTTTCATTAAGGGTTGCCGCTGATGTGATATTCGTTGCACGCTCTCGAAGTTTTTGGTGAAGGTGCTCCCAAACATGCTCTATTGGATTCATGTCGGGACTTTGGGCGACCCATGGCTGTGACTTGATTCCTTGCGATTCATTCCAAGCCCTTGCTACTTTACTCGTATGAAATGGCGCTCCATTTTCTTGAAAAAGGTAGACATTCTCGTCAATCTGATTGGTTTCAAATAGTAGAAGTATTGCTTTCTCTAATATTTGACAGTCGTTTGGACCATTCAACCACTCTTCAACAAGAATCAGCTCAGATTTCCCTCCAGACCAGACAGCGCCCCACACCATTACTCCAATCCCTCCATGTTTCGCAGTCGTCTGCAGACATTCAGTGTTCCAAGTCTTATTTCTCCAAACCTGTCTCGAATCTGAATATTGGCAGAATTTACTTTCATCTGTTACAGACTGCCAACATTCATAATCTTTGCTCTCGACATCTCTCGCCCAGTCCATATGCTTGTTAGTTTTAACCTCTGAAATCAAGGGCTTCTTTCTTGCAACTATTCTTTGATAGCCTAGATCTTTCAGCATCTTTCTCACCGTATATGGCGACATTTCCATGTAGTTGGCGACGTCTTTGACGCTTTGACGACGGTTTCTGATGACTTCCCTCTTGAGAGCTCTTTTCGTTTGCCCAGACACGATGCTTGGTCTTCCTGAACGTTGTTCCACACGACAACGTTTGATGATTAACCTGGAAAAACCTAGCAAATTCTCCATTTGTCTTGCCACACTGATGACATCCTATTATTTCTTTACTTCCGTGAACTTTCATTGCAAAATATAAGTCAACTATCGTTCATAGATTAGAATAGCTTGATACACCGTATTGTCTAAAAAAAAAAGAAGATTCGTTATTACACAAGCCAAAGTTGCTGTAATTAAGGGTGGCTAAAACTCATCATAGCCCACTTTATTTTCAGACGAAATAACATTTGTTCGGATATGAATCAGATAAGGGAAGACTAAGAACAATAAAAAAATTTGCTGAATTTTTATTAGTTGCTAATATATATATATATATATATATATATATATATATATATATATATATATATATATATATATATATATCAAAACTAAAACTAAAATTGTAAATTTAATTATAAAAATTAAACTTAAAACCCAGAGTATATATCGTTTTCAAATGTCACGTTTGCTTCTATTTGTTCTTTCATACGGTAGTAGTAGTAGTAGTAGTAGTAGAAGTGTTATTTGTTACATCACTTTGGTATTTTTACTAATTCATAAAGTCAGTTTCTCGATCAGTAATAAATTTCTCATTTTTTTTACAATGATATTCACCCTGTACAAAGCCCCAAAGCCACTCAAGTTAGAGGGTTAAATAGCAAGAAGTACCAACCCAAGCAAGTAGATAATGCCAACAAGACGCAAGTGAAAGAGAAGCAAAAGATCACAAACCCGATCCTAAACTGGAAACAATGTATAAACCTCTGCTCTTGATTAAAAAAAAACAAACAAAAAAAAAAAACGGAAGGATTGTGAACCAGACGATAGACGATCCTATGTACTCCTATTTACTTTGGAATATTTACGATACAGATGGATATATATTAAAGAGAAGCCTTCATTTGGAGAGAAAACTCGTATGATGAGGTTGCTGCTATCTATGATAAAAATGTTTGTATCAATCACATAGCTTTTATTACATTAAACTGTAAAAATTGTTTTATTTTATTTTTAGTTATTATTGTTAATCTTTTACTGTAACTGATTTATAAATTTATAACTATATCATATGGATGTAAATAGGGGAAAAAAAAGCAATATATATAGAGGGTTTTGAATTATCCGCGATTTAGAGCCTCTTCAGCGTCCTGAAATATCTCCACCGCGGATAAGGAAGTTTACTGTATATTGGAAATAGGAGTTAAAACAACTAAACTCTTTGCATATCTTGATACCTACCACTTTGATTTATTTGCTTAAATGCTACCGCACCTTTGTGCAAGGTGAGTAATTTTAGAGAAACTATTCAACCTATTTTTGAGGTGACAGAATTTGTCCAGGCTGACCCGATTTGCTACAGTTCAGTGTAGGATTAACGTTCTAAATCTGATACTCAGTAAAATAGTCAAACATTTCCGATTGGAGGACTTGTAATACCCCGAGAGACTTCCATTCATTCTTTTTTTTTTTTTGAAAAAGAACGTATTATAAAAGGTGTGGATGGCTTGATGTTTGCTTTTCAATGTTTATTCTTGTTGCGAAATTGGAATCACTCCCACTCTTTTTTTCTATTTTTTTTCTCTTTCATTTGCTTCTTTTTTTCACTGTATTAAGCTTTTTCTTTTTTCTTAACTTTTAATTTCTTCTTCATCGAAGTCTTCTTTCCTACATTTCTTTTGTTATTGTTGTTTTGTCGTTGTTTGCTTCTTTCGTTTTTTTTCTTCTTCTTTTTTAGTCGTGTATTGTCTTCCTCATTGGCGTCTTCACTTATAACATCGCAGACGTTTTCACGTTTTTTATTCTTTGTCTTCATAGAAGTTTTTTTTTTAAATCATTTCACTCAAGCAAGGAAATAAAGCCATTAGAACGCCATGGCTTACTGGATGTCAGAGAATATGAGAAAAAAACAACTACTATTGACGAGAGACGACAATAAAAGAACAAGAAGACAGAAGATAACGACTGACATTGCATTTAAATTTTTGAAGATCAAAATTAACTGGGAAGCAAGAAGCCGGAAGAGAGTTCCACAAACGAAAAGCGCGATAGAAGAAACTGTTATCATAGAAGTTACGATTACATCTAGCCATTTCAACTGTAAAGTGATGAAATCTTGCTGCCAATCTATCACTGAGATTAAATTCTTAAAGTCTAGGTACCATAACGGAAAGTTCATCAGAACAATTACCATGAACGTATTTATAGAAAAGGCACTGGGAATCAACTTTACTGTCGTGGGAAAGGAACTGAAGCCAAGATGCCAGGTCAGGGACTATAACATTGCAGATTCTTCTTTGGATTTTATCAAGAATCTCTAAATATAAACCAGGAGTACCAGACCAGATGTGGCCGTAATATATAAATATCTAAGGTAGATTCTGGCGAGAAAAATTGTCTAGCACAACATAGTGAACCAACTTTCTTAGCTACAGACTTAGTAATTAATTCAGTACGAGGGTCAAGCAGATCAGTTCTGAGCCCATGATTATAAAGGTGAAGGTTTTGAGCAGAACCATCCACACTTTTTGAAGGGGAGAATACAGAAGCTTGGTGCACTACATGCCACAAGGTCGCCAGGTTTTGAATTCAGAGTGTTCCTTCTCTTAGAGCAGTTGACATCTAAGGCTATAGAACCCAGTCTGTCCTGCAATTTACGGTTACTTGTTTTTTGCGCGTTATTTGTTTTTTATTTTGTCAAATGTACGGTATAGTAGGGTCTGTGAGAAACAAAGAATGCTATGACTCAGTTCACTGCGCTAGAAATTTTGAAACGGCATGATGTACTGCTTGGTATTCGGACCGGAAGATCTAATACGAATATTTCGAGGGTTTAGATGTCAATCTGTGGATAGGGCAACAGATTCATAAAGAGTTGGATCATATATTTAGACAGCATCATCGTGTTTGGAGGGATCATGTGAGATGGCGAGGTTACGTCTACATTCTCCTTCCCATAGGGCCTCAGACTCAACACGGGGCCCTTCAGGAAGTAGTTCTTCCCTGGGTCAAGAGGGTGGCCGCTACAAGACGCAATGTCTGACAACAAGCCATACAAGCAGAAGAACGCAGTCAATTTCTGCGTCCACATCACCCCTTACATCTGGCCACCTAACATTCTACACTGCAACCCTTTGATTATTATGTGTTGAGCGATAGACCAAGAAAGCCCCAAAATTGAACTGAAGGCAAACTTTACATCAGATGATTAAAAAGAGCAGTTTCGTTTCTGAGGCGTTAAAATTAACAGGCCACTAATTGCCCCATTTAACAACAGATTGTAGGTCATTTTTTAGATGAGCTACAAATATGAAATTATCAATCGAATCAGACTTACTATTACGACAGAGATAAATAGTTGTGTCATCAGCTTAGATACCGAGTTAAGAATTGATGGCAGCAGGAAGGTCATTTATGAAAATTAGAAACAGTGTATATGCAAGGATAGAGCTCTTGGGAACAGATGTATTTATGCATAAAGATCTAGAAAAGTGTCATTCAAGACCACTTTCATTTTGCAATTTGATAAGAAAGACGGAATCAGTTCAAAAATTCGTCCAGAAACACCATCACCTTTCAACTTGTGAAGAAGACCCGTATGCCTAACTCTATCAAATGCCTATATAATCATTAAGCAAATCGTTTTCATTGTATTTTGAGAGTTGTATTATCAGCGGGCAAGATTTTTTTTAATTACTTCTATCCTTTCGATATTTTTCATTACTGATTCTAACGTTGAAGATAGAAAGAAAGGAGCAATATTTTTTGCATATTATATTTAAAAAATCAAACTGTCCAGTTTCTGAATCAGGTATTGTGAACGATCGAACGTATCAAAAGCGGTTTGTGAAGTTTGATGCTGAAAATTTCTGGCTGGTCAAAATCAAGGTTGACATCGATGTTGATACCAATCAAATAGAGGCATTAAGAATCAACGTTATGACGAGGCCTTTTATCCTATACTACTGTTCACTCAGTACAAGCCCCAAGTGCCATTCAAAGTAGAGGGTCATTGAATAAGTCTGTTTTATGGACGTAAGCAGAAAATATGCACGATAGATGATAGTTAAAGCCAGATTAGAGGCTTTTATTAATCGGTAAAGCATCATCACTGGAATCTGCTTCGCAAAATAGCCGTTCTTGGAAAGAAGCTGTTCGAATGGAACTTCTTTCTTATTCATAGAATGCGAAGTGAATGAAGAGAATTGGCCCTTGTGTAGATGGTATAGCAGATCTTAGCCGTAAATAGTTGAAGTGGAGGAACTAAGGAATGTAGATCGTCAGAACATTTCCCATGAAAATAATGATAGACTAGCGATAGGCTTGTAACGTTGCGTTTGTGAGAAAGAGGTTCAAGTGTAGAAAGACCGTATAGACGCTTTTGAATACTGTCACGGCTGGAAAGAGGAGATTGGAGACCGACTTAAAATATTCAAATTGAAAATGATTTCCTTCATCTTGATTATGTTAGTCCCTTTGATGTGTAGCTTCCAAATAAGTGAAAATATTTGAAGCCGTTTGTCTTCAGAGCGTCGGTACTCATGTTATCTCATTATTTCATGAGATAAGTAGATGAATGGTTTCCCGTTGCATCCTTTACGGTTTTCAATTCAGAGTAGTCCTCTCAGACTGTCTACCCTGATATTTAATCTACAGTTGCAGGGAAAAGTGATGGATTCATGCACTTCCCATTTGTACGAAAGTGAACGCAACAGACTATGCGGGAATTTGAACTCTCCTCGACGATTTTACTAAACACATTGTTAACCGTTATGCTACCGGAATATAAAAAAAAATGTACTGACTGAACCATATTTCCATGTGACATAATCCACGTAACGAAAATATTTAGTTTTTTTAAACTAATTGGGATACGCGATGAAAAGTTGTTAATTTACAACAATATGAGGTGCTAACAGCTTCTGAATGAAAAACACTTTCTTCCTAATCTGTATCTGGAAACTCATTGCTATTTCCAACAGCTGTTAATGCAACATTCACACGTATAATAACAGAATTATTCATATAATAAAAATGTGGATATTTTAAATAGCGTACAAAGGGTCGATAATCAGTAAAAAATATATCAAAAAAGAAATCAGTCAATCAACTCTAACACTTCCTCATTGATCACGTCATATATATATATATATATATATATATATATATATATATATATATATATATATATATATATATATAAGAAATGGAGAAGGTCCGACAATTTATTTATTAAAGACATTTTTTTATGTTTAACGTTGTTATTTTATAGATACAAGTATTTAAGTAAATGCTCTGTTTATGATAAACAGTATTAAATAACATTTACCGGCCTGAATGTCCGGAGAAATTTTCATAGAAAATATTCGTTCGTTGACAGGATTCGAACCTGCATCCTATACGGAACCGTCATATACGCTGACGTTCGGTAGACAAGGTTGGAGTTTATAAGCAGTATATTCGAACGGTTCTTTGTAGCCTAGAGGTAAGGCACGTCAGCGTATATGACGGTTCCGTATAGGATGCAGGTTCGAATCCTGTCAAAGAACGAATATTTTCTATGAAAAATTTCGACATTCAGTAAATGTTATTTAATACTGTTTATCATAAACAGAGCATTTGCTTAAATACTTGTATCTATAAAATAATAACGTTAAACATAAAAAATGTCTTTTATTATATATATATATATATATATACACACACACAAGTGAACATTGAAGTCAACACTCAGAGGCGACAGACGATTGCGTCCAGCATGAGGCAAACAGTCGCCTATGAGTGTTGGCTTCAATGTTCACTTTTACATTTATATTTACACACGCTCTATCTCTGATATTGAGCACTTTATCCCATAAATATAGAACACCTTAAAACCTTATATTTATAAATATAGTTATGTAAGTAAATGCTCTGTTTATAATAAACAGTATTAATTACATTTACCAGTCTGAATGTCTGAGAAATATCGTAGAAAATATGTGTCCTCCGACAGGAATTGAACCTGGATCCTAAGCGAAACCATAATTTGGTCTGACATGCTATGTCATTTAGCTACAGAGGAAGCGTCTGTTTAACAAAATCAAATTACTTTTTTTAGGTAACAAATTTCCCATGATTTTTTCTCGAACGATCATATCTGCTCGAAGCGTACCTTAGCATAAATAAATGACAATATATTATGAAATAAACTAAGACCGGCAATTATTTTAATATATTTTCTGTTTATACATCATTTTTATAGCGAAAATTATTTAAGTAAACAGAAAATATATTAAAATAATTGTCAGACTTTCTCCATTTCGTAATAAATGTTGTCATTTGTTTACGTTAAGATACGCTTCGACCAGATATGATCGTATAAATATATTATAGAAAGAAAATTATATTAAATATATATATATATATATATATATATATATATATATATATATATATATATATATATATATATATATTAAGAAGAAGAAGAAGAAGAACTGCAAATGATTTTGGTTGTAATGTGGATTTTTTTTTTAAATATTATGTTTTATTTTCCATAATGGAAAATAAAACATAATAAAATAAAGCATAATATATTTTTTAAAAATCCACATTGCAACCAAAAAACGTTTCTGGTTACTCTCTTCTTTTAATATACACTTTTTCTCGTTGGAACTACTATAAGCTCTTCCATATATATATATATATATATATATATATATATATATATATATATATATATATATATATAACCGGATATAAAGAGTTGTTGGGACCGGATAGAAGTCTCTTATATCCGGGTTTCTCTTATATCCAGGTTTGGACTATTTTGTTTAGGTAAGTATGGGAACACTTTGGGACCAGAGAAAATCTTATATCCGGGTTTCTCTTATATCCGAGTCTCTTATATCCGGGTTATACTGTATAATTAATACAAGTATAAAGTTTGTCAGCTGATTGATATAACCTATATATACACACACACACACACTCACACACACATATATATATGATTAATGCAAATAAAATTTGACACTCAGCTGATTGATGTTATATTCGGCACATCGACTCTAGAGATTTGTACAGTGTAACCCGGATATAAGAGACCCGGATATAAGAGAAACCTGGATATAAGAGAGATTTTCTCTGGTCCCAAATTAGAGCCTGTGTTAATGTATATAAAATAGACTAAACCCGGATATAAGAGAAACCCGGATATAAGAGACTTCTTCTCCGGTCCCGACTACTCTCTTATATCCGGGTTACTCTGTATATCAACTTTTTTGCAATTGTTCAATCCACTCTTCAGGAGCTTTTAAAATTTATTGTGAAAGGTAACAATTCGAATAGATTTTTTTTTTAAAAGATTTATTCATATTTTATATATATAAATCGACAGACTAGGTATTTAGGGATTTCTGAAATCTACTGGATTTTCTTCAATTTGGGATGAACGTTATCTCGAAGTTGATTTATACAATAAGAAAGAGATAGACAGAGAGAGAGGCATCATATATTTATATAAATATATGTACTCACAATGGACTCATCGATGTGGTTTAACGGTTAGTCTCGCTAGATCAATACAGACTAAGTAGTGAGTTCGATTATCACTGGGTGCCCCACATTTTCGGCCTTGTGCCACTTTAAAAGCTACGCTTAGGAAATCACGTGACTACTTCAACGTGGTGTAATAACCAATTTATCACGACTGAGTAGTGAGTATTTGCGACCTTATGCCACAGCTAAACTCCGCTGATTAACTCACTATATTGCACACAATTTTTCACCCCACATTTTCTCGGCCTCAAAAATGGAAAAAGTCAACATGGCCAAATGTGCCGAGGGATTGTTTGCAACAGTGGCCAGGAATTAACATCTTTATTGCCTTATACGCCGCTGTCCCATTGGTTCATGATCGTTTGGGTTCTAAAGATTGAACTAAGCAACACGTACTGACGCCATTTGCAATTCAAACATGAAGCATGACACTCATATGTCACAAGGGAATGCCTTCTATCGGTTGACGCGTTTATCGTTTGCAGCGACAAATTTGCGGTCGGCGGTGGAAAATTCTTCACACCTCGCAGAGTGGGAAACGCCACTGATAACTGATAATCGGGGGGTATGACAAGGTGTTGTTTGAGAAGAGTCAGACCGTCGCACGCACACCAGAGGGGCGTTAACTGATTATTTTCGATGAACTGTTTTGATTGAGAGTTGATGTGAAATGTTAACGTTGTCAGCGTTTTCATTAGTTTTTCCGCCTCCCCTCTCCCCATCTCTCTCACACACTCTGTGGGGAAGGAGGGCGAGTTTTTAGCTCATCGAATGTGTACCTAATTATAAGTCGCGGCCTGGATAGTAAAATTCTTGCTATCATTAGGGAAGCGAGTTGTTTTAACAACTGCCTTGAAATATCCGCCAATGACCAATACTGTTTGTCTTTTCTCTAGATTCCAAGACAAACCTAAGTGTAAATGGCTGCATCAACTGAGGAAGCATTTCGAACAATATCACCTACTTTTAGCCATTCATTTCATTATGTACTGAGTGATCTCTAAAATTGCGACTGTTGTAGTGTTATATATATATATATATATATATATATATATATATATATATATATATATATATATATATATATATATATATATATATATATATATATATATATATATATATATATATATATATATATATATTAACGTTAAACGTTAAAATATATATATATATAATTATTTAATATATTTTCTGTTTCTGTTTATATTACCTCAAGGACACATGGCACAGTGGATAAAAGCATTAGTGACCGGACCCAAAGAGTGTGAGTTCAATACCTAGTTAAGGCAGTGGAGAACTTGGAGAAGGGAATTAACAGGTGATAACCGACATCCATTAGACATGGCACGTGGAACTAGAACAGTCTACCCCAGCGAACGAAATAAAGGGCTCAGTTCGGCATTCCAACCACCTGAAAAATGCCGGAGCGTACAACGGCCGAAACGTTGTGATAAATATGGCAACAGAAATGAGGACGATAGTCTGAACAATGTAAATATTTTTTGTTTATACGTTATTTTTAATAGATACTATTTAATTAAGTTTTTTTTTTTAAATAAACAATATTAATTACATTGGCTGTCGTAAAATTTAGTAGTTCTAGGAATCGAACCTGTGTCCTATACGGAAAGGTCAATTCATCTGACGTGCTATACCACTCAACTAGAGAGAAAGTGTCTCTCTCGGTTGATTTGTAAGGAAGTAGGCTTCCTGATGTTATCAGTCTGGTGGGGTCAATACCAGCGTGCGGCAAAGTGCCTGAAAACCATACCACGGGTTGATCCAAACCTTGGGTAGACGCAACTCTTGGGGGCCGTCGATAGCAGTGTCTAGCTCGAAGTCACAAGTCAACCTGACCGAGTGTTTGAGCGTGCTGGCCTTGTTCAGAGCGTGTTATCTAGCGTAGTCAACAATTTGAACAAGATTGTTCTTGCTCAGATAAGAACGATTTTGTTGATCACGCTAGATAATACGCTCTCTCCCAGAAACTGTAACTAAGGTCTACTCAGCATAGTTGCAGGTTGGCGCTGTGGGTGTCAAACAAATACAAATGTGCCTAAGCGAGCGTCTGGAAAAGGGAATGTCTAGCCGCCCTAATAGACGGGTATCCTCAAATACGAGTATTATATATATATATATATATATATATATATATATATATATATATATATATATATATATATGTCATCCACAGACAGACTGTTTCACTGTATCACAGCATATAAATGTGGCTAGACGTCCGGTTGCCTCTAGCTAGGATCGAAACCCGACTGAATTGGCGTCAGTCGGGGACTCTACCACTAAGCCTTTGGCGCACGACAGATGAAGGTGAATTTAAGCGTATTCATTTTTAGATAAACATACAGTGACTGAGAGAACTCGATTCAATTTTCCGAAGAGTTTTGCATTATTAGCCGTAATATTCACTGTTTATAAACCCACACTTTCTGCCCAGAGAGCTCAACCGAAATAATTTTTTCAGGAACATATAATAGATATATATAATAGCGAGTATTTTGTCTTATGTTAATAGTTGTATTTTTACCGACCATGATGTACTGGTCGATATGTGCATGGATTACACTGAGTTTTGACAGGTGGCAGGTCTATCTGCGAAAAAGTATGGTGCATATATATATATATATATATATATATATATATATATATATATATATATGTGTGTGTGTGTGTGAGAGTGTGTGTGTGTCTACTGAGATAGATAGATAGACAGACAGACAGAAAAGAAAGTAACAGTGTGAAAATAGAAAGCAACGCAGCATGGTGACTGGTAGTTTCACAATTTAAGTGATAACTAGACAATCTACATCCGATCTATCTATCTATCTATCTATCTATCTATCTATCGCAGTCTGTGCATACGGTTTCCACCAGGCGACGCAGGTTCAAATCTTGCCGGGGGACGCATATTGTTTTAATAAGATTTCTGGAATATTCAGAGCGGTAGATGTAAATAAATAAATATATTGTTTAATAAAAACAGACCATCTACTCAAATATGAGTATCCATTTAAAAAATAACGTTTAAATTTTAAAAATATCTATATATTTACATATCTACGTGTATACACACGCACACACACGCACACACATATATATATCAATCTCTTCATTATCTATCTATCTATCTATCTATCTATCTATCGATCATAGTCTGTTCTCCATGTATGTATGTATGTATGTATGTATGTATGTATGTATCTATCTATCTATCTATCTATCTATCTATCTATCTTATCTAGCTTGTTTGGTTTATATTTCATTTAATTTATATCTATTCCTGTTTGTTTATGTCTATCTATCTCTGAATACATTACCTTCTACTATTCTCAAATTTCATAACTTTTCTATCTATCTCCTTCTCATTGCACAAGCAAAAATTAAACTGACAAAGAAAGAAAGAAAGAACGAAAGAAAGAAAGAAAGAAAGAAAGAAAGAAAGAAAGAACGACGCATTGGAAAAAAGAAAAACAAATTAGATATAAAAGAAATAATAAGTAACAGGCGGAGAGTAAGAAGGAAACTTAAAAGTAGACGAGGGTAGTGGGTGAGTGAAGGGCAAGAAGGCCACAGATACAAAGAGCTGGTCTTCGAAACCATTGAAACGTTATATGGTGAACTGTAAACACTGATCGTCATTCATGACGAGGTGTGTCTGTTTAGCTTTATTTGTTAATTTTTTTAAAAGATATTACCTGAGTCGCTTGTCAAACCTGAACCCCAAGACAGACACAAGATATGACCATGAATTGCATTCAACACACACACACACACACACTGATAAATAGAAGCAGAATCAGATAGATAGAAAGTTATGTAGATATGAACAAATGGAGATAGATAGATAGATAGATAGATAGATAGATAGATAGATAGATACGAACAGTAGCTAGCTAGGTAGCTAGCTAGCAAGATAGATAGATAGAGAGATCTGACTGTTGTTAGAGAGAGAGATAAATAAGCACTTACAATGTAACTTTACTTACATATGAAGACTTTTTGTTACTGGTTCTTTAAACTGTTTAAGTAACTTACGCATAAACAGTGATAGATAGATAGATAGATAGATAGATAGATAGATAGATAGGGATAGATAGATAGTAGGTGTCACCAATTTTCATGGCGGAAAATTGGACACCTGGGTAATAAAAAAAACTATGAAACATGTATAAAACTTAATTTCATGGTCGTTTTTTCTACTAATCGAAATTTGAAAGAACGGAAAAACACCTTATTATTTCTTTATTTCAAGTCGAATCGGAAATATTTGCGTTTAAAATGTTGTTTGTAAGTATTTTCATTATAAAAATATTATTGCCTTTTTTGAGTCGGAAAAATCTCTCGATTTAAAAAAAATATTCCAAAATTCATTTAATTTTTAGTTTTATTAAAACTTTTGATATTTATATAAAAGAGAATTTTTTATATATTTTTAAATCAATCTAATTTAATTTGTTGATTTTCATTTGTGTATCGAGACGGACGACATTGGGTTTACACTTTTTAAATATAAGTCATTGAAAAATGAATACTGTAAAAAATGAAAAAAAAAAACAAAAGAAAAGTCGATACGGATGCCTTAGTCATATATAAGCCGTTTCGAATATATTTTTATTTCTTTTAATTCATCTTCTAGGGTCATTGTCACAGAAAAAAATTCTTTGATATCTTTTAGAAATATTCTAATAATGTTTCTATAATATCAATCCCATAATGCGGTATTTTAAAAAGTATTTATTCTTTCAAAAGATTTCTATAGGATTTTGTTTTTAAAAACATGATACTCTTTAATAAAAAATATACAAAGATATTATGAAATTATTCTCTCCAGCTATTCTTACAATAAAGTAAAAAATATTACACGGCTCTTGATGGAATATTATTAATAATTACGGAACGTAATCTTGTAATAATTTCTGCTTTTCAGCTGAAATATTTTCTATGTTTTCAATAGCAAACTCTTTTTTTGTTTGCTCCAAAACTTCAATCGTTTATAAGCTATAATGGCTTCCTAAATTTTTCACAGTGAAAATTTTATTTTTTTAAATATAATAATCGTTTTCATCAAAAACTCAAATCCATTTACTATTTTCTGGTTTAAAAGATTACATGTATTTTAATTGTTTGTATTCTTTATAATCAACAATTTAAGTGACAGAATGTTTTCCAGAATTAACTTTTTAAAAGTAGTGATTGTTGTAGTCAAAAATAAAAAAAGCAGAAAATAATTAGTTTACAAAAAATAAAATATTGATTTTATTACGGGTCACCATACTTACAAAATGGAAGCACTTCAGTTATGAGAGCTGTCAAAATGAATGTTTCGCTGTCTGTCGGGCCCAAGTGAAGCGAGTCATCGATGTTATAAAAAATACATTTTGAATATATTAAAATAAACTTTGGTAATGCAGTTAAATCGAGTATGGATAAAATCGAGTATGGATAAAATCGAGTAAAGATTGAAGTAACTGTTTTCTATAAATTTTTCTTGGTGTTACGAATTTCGTTGGAGATACCTAATACTTACGAACGGATATATGAACAATGTTGAAGATTTTTCGATGGCCCCTCTTTTCCAAATCTGATCAAATGACGAAACTGCAAACTATTGAGAATTTCTTTTTTTTCTAGGAGCTCCTTATAAGTGAACGATGAGGTCAACACCTAAGGGCAACAGTCTGTTTCATGCTTAAACGCAAATGTCAGGCGCTAGGTGTTCACCTCAATGTCTACTTTTATATTTACATACGTTTTATCCCTGATAACGAGCACTTTAACTCATGAATATAGTATACTTAAAAACTATATTTTTATCATATATATATATATATATATAGATACACCTAGTGAGCCAGACAAACCTACCTAGGTTTCACCTAAACAGATCGTCAGGGAAAGTTTGGCCAAACTTTCCCTGACGATCCGTTTAGGGTGAAACCTAGGTAGGTTTGTCTGGCTCACTAGGTATATCTAGGTCTGCTCTACGGTTGTTTTGAGCTCTTTTGTTAGTTAGTTGTTACTCGTATCAGGGTTTTTTCTTTGGGCTTCAGACCTGCATCTGTGCGATTTTTTTGTCGGCAGAAGTTCATGTTTGTAGCTCTTTCTTTTTAAAACCTTTTTTTCCTCGAGATTGATTTGATTAGCAAATCAAAAATTCGAGGGTTTTTCGAAACGAGTCTAGTTATCTATATTTATATGTATATATATATATATATATATTAAGGCATGTGTTGTTAAAGACTATGGAATTTTTCCGTTTAATAATCACTTTTTTCTGTTTTTTTTACTTTCTTGCAAGTTTTTTTTTATGTTTAGGCCTCAGTCGTTGAAATGAAACCCTAGTCCATTGTGTTTTGCAGAGCACTTTCGGTTATCGTCAACCGTCATCATGGCTTTATGTTTTGATTTGAAATCGGTTGTTTATTATTTTAGTTTTATAGATAATATTTTGGGTATTTAGAAATTATGGTTGAATTAGTTCATTATTTAATAAGGAGGGGGTTGGTGTTTATTAGTTGGATGATTAGTTATTAAATATGTTTATTTAAGAGGATTAGTTATTAAATGTTTATTTAAGAGGATTAGTTATTAAATATATTTCTGCCAGTATTAAATGCTATTTTATTTATGTTGGGTGACTGCTTTTTAATTAGGATGGCTTCAAGAGTTTGTAATCGTTTTTGCATTTGGTTTTATAGAGGATTTTGGTGTTGCTAATTAAGATTTTTATTTCAGATGATTTGAATGTTTTAGTAGTGGTGCAGTGTGTTGCTACAAGATGATTTTTATAGCGCTGATGTCATGTGAGTACATGTGTGTGTGTGTGTCTGAAATAGGTTCGCTAACAGTCCTTTATTTAGTTTCAATTATTATCCTTGTCCGTTGCTGAATTTTGAAGGTAAAATCATTTTCAGTTTTCTTTTATATCTACAGGAATTAAATTAAAACCACTATTTATATATTTCCCTTGATTACCTTTATTATAACTGGTTGGTGTTGGCAGCCCTATTCTCAAGTGTTTTAACCAAGTTACATTTTTTCGAAAATTATCTTATTGACTTCATGTGTTTGAACTTAATTTTCTCAAAAGTTTTGCAAAACTGACATGCGCACTTGTGGATAATAACACGTGCTTATGTGCCATAGTAAACAAATGAAAGCCATTTTGCGATACCGTTTTATTGCTGCTGTTCCAGTCTTTATGCAATATGAACTTTAATGGATGTTTAAGCAATGTTGACGAAGCAGAATTTATTTAAATTGTTCAGATTTATAAATCGACATTAGATGTCGTATAATCACTGGCTGCATATAATGCAGGATCTGACATGGAGAAAATATGGTCATTTTTTTTTTACTTTTAATCGACGAATGAAAGAAAACCCAATGGAAAACTGAGATGCTCAATTGGCCACTTAAGAGCAGTAAAGAGTTATTCGAAGCCCCTTCACTCTACGGCATACTGAAACATTTAGTAACCCACATCAAACCAAATACTCGGCCTTCTTTGAAGTTGAAGTACCTCGTTAAGCATCTCAACTGGACTAAATAGTATATGGACGTGAATTTCCAAAAAGTGCTATTTACGAACGAATATAGGACGACGCTGGATAGCTCCGACGATGGGTGGTCTCTTATGAAGGTACATAAATCTGTTCGGTTGTGGCGTCAACAAAATGAGGTTGGGGTTTACATTTTGGTTGATAATCATCGGTATTAAGATGTTTAGCCCCTAACATTTGAACGATCACGTTAAAATTGACGATTACATAAATATATTCTCTTTTGCAAATATACTTCTTTTATATGGCGTGTCCCTCCAGGCCGTAGTCAGTCATGACTTTCCATATCTTCCTCCCCTTTCTAACTCTTATTAATGTTAGTCATTACATCATCCCTCACTTTCCCTGTTCTGCCATCCATTGACTCATACTCGTTGAGTAGTTTACTCGTTTTTTCCCTCTGTCCGTCTTGCTTTCAATATGTCCTGTGAGTGTCAATTTTTCAAGCCTTTTTTCTCACTATTTGTCTAAGAAATTTCATCTATCTCTTTCTGATTCTAAGTGTAAGTGTCTTTTTTGGGTTCCATTTTGCTTAAAACTTCCTCGTTACTCACATGTTTAGTCCATGGGATTCTGAGATTTCTTATGCCATACCACATTGCCTCATTTTCGTCTGTGAGGAGAGTGTCCAGTATTCATTGCCACAGAGGAAGATTGACATTTCAAAGCAGTTCATGAAT